TATTGACAACTCTGTGAGTGAAGGCATGGATTTACAAATCCACACAGGGATCAGCAGTGCACCAGTGAGTGAGAAATGGCAGAAATCAAAGCTGCCACAGCACCAGATGAGCAACTGTCAATGTTGAGACAAGTTATCCGAGCAGGATGGCCTAAGTCAAACAGAAGGTGTCCGCTTGCCGTCTCTGAGTATTGGAACCATCGGGACGAGATATCAGAGATAAACGGAATCCTCCTCAAAGGTGAGAAGATCATTGTGCCACACTCACTCAGAGCTGAAATGTTGTTACGCATACACACAGGACACTTGGGGTTGGAAAAGTGTAAGCAGCGAGCAAGAGACGTACTGTTCTGGCCCAGAATGTGCAAACAGATAGAGGCACTAGTAGGATCTAGCAACATCTGCCTCGAGCGACGCAGCTCCAACACGGAGGAACTAGGCTCTCGCATCCTATCCCGGAAGGACCCTGGCAAACACAGATTTGTTCACCTGGCACAGTACTGACTATAGTTGTAGGAGCGGTCGGTAAAATCAACGCGCATTTGCTCGTATTGTCACTTCAATATTTTTTTATTCATTGTTCGGGAAAAACAACCTGAATCACACTCATAATAAACGGAGAATTCAATGCGTAATGCGGTCAAAAATAGTATCTCCTTCTGCTCTCAAAATAGAAAACACACCTGGCCTTACTCAGGTGACATTTAAATAGCCGACGCCCCCTGACGTCATCATTACATCATCACAAATAAATCAACAGAAAAGGCTGTTTCATTATGCACAATACAAATGTAGTGGAATGGCTTCTACACTCCGGCCCCTAATTGACCGGTATAGGACAATTCATACATTTAAACATATGAAGCACATTCTTTAGAGTCCTTTGTCTCGTGTCCATAGAATTAAGAAAAAAGGCCAAAAATATAATCCATTTAGTTTTGATAGTCCTTTTTGCAAAACGGGTTCAAAAAATTCCTGAGAAAAGGAAAATGAGTTCTCTCAAGGGTCGAAGAAAAGGGGGCAAAGTCTATTCGAGGATCTAATCAGGGAAGGTTTTGTAGAAGGCACAGCTTTGTGATGGGCCTTTCCAAGGTGCCATTTTGTGTCCTGATCTTGACACGATGTATATGTCCCCTTTTGTCGGGAAAGGTTTCCGTGATTTGGCCCATAGGCCAGGAGTTGCGTGGTGAGCTTTCATTGATGATCAGCTCTATGTCTCTATGCTTTAGGTTCCTTTTGATCTTATTCCATTTCTGTCTTTCCTGTAGCAATGGGAGGTACTCTCGTATCCAGCATTTCCAGAAGAGATCCGCTATATACTGATTCTGCTTCCATCTTCGTCTGGAAAAGGTATCACTTTTGTCGAAGAGTCCAGGTGGAAGAGTCGGCATTCGCTTCATTTGAAGCAGGTGGTTGGGTGTCAGAGGTTCTGGATTTTTTGCATCTTGGGATAAGACTGTGATGGGCCGGTCATTCATGATTGCCTCTACTTCACATAGAGCTGTTTGGAGACTCACGTCATCCAGGATCTGTTCCCTTGTGATAGAGTAGAGGTTCTTTTTTATCATCCGGATGAGTCGTTCCCACACGCCTCCATGATGAGAAGTGCTCAATAAAACGAGTCAGTGGCCTTTCATTCTGCAGTATACTTGTAGTGAAAGCCATGGCCACCTTCTTGACCTCCGGGTCACTGTCATACAGCGTGGGTGGTACTTGAATCACTGGCCAGTCAGTTTCCGGTTGCATCAGGAAATTTGGACCACTCAGCCAATGTCCTTCTTGAATGAACTTCTCGGTTTTTATGCCTCTTGATGCCATGTCTGCGGGGTTGAGCTCTGTGTTTATGTGGCACCATTGGAATTTGTGTGTCAGATCCCGAATAGTGGACACTGTTGGCTACATAGGTTTGAAACCTTCTGGCGTCATTTTGGATGTATTTTAAGACACCGGTACTGTCGGTCCAAAAGACTGAGTCCTCGAGGGTTAACTCGAGCTCTCTCCTCAACATCCTGTCTATCCTAGCAGCGAGAACTTGGAATACCCCAGACAGTAATCAGAGATAACGGACCTTGTTACAGTTCACAAGAGTTCAGAGGTTTTGCTCGTGCTTGGGACTTTGAACATACCACAAGCAGCCCGCTGTACCCACAGAGTAACGGTTTGGCTGAAAAGACTGTTCAGACCATCAAAGCCCTCATGTACAAAGCACACGCACAGCGGATAGATCCGTACCTCAGCTTACTGGAATACAGGAACACACCAGTTGATGGACTGAAGTCGCCAGCGCAGCTGCTAATGAGCAGGCATCAATCACAGAAAAACAACTGCAACCTGATCTTGTCAGCCGCAGCAAAGTTCTCAGCAGAAGGCAACTGTGTCAACAGAGACAGAAATACTACGACAGGAATGCTAGGACACGGCACTACCAGAACGAGCCACGGTCCGTTTCCAGCTTCCCACAGGGACATGGGAACCTGCCAAAGTCATCGAGCCTGCAGGTACCCAGAGGTCCTACAACATTCGCACTGAAGGAGGTCACATGCTCAGGCGTAATCGGCATCACCTCCTGCAGGCGTCTGAAAGTGTCGCAGACCAGGTACTTCCACCAAACAACCACCAGGTGGAGTCTAAAGAAACAGAGCATCAAGCAGTACAGCAGGAAAGGGGGATGTAGTATCTTGGATACTTCCGGTTCCAGTAGCCGTTATGTTGTGATGAGGTCATCAAGGTGTGCGTTTATGCGCAGAAGTAAAAATACATTAATAAAGATGGACGCATACAGCGCCGACAAAAAAACAACAACTTACTAGTACAATTAAATGTCAGTGCGCACACACGAATATTACAAGGTGTCCCTGCTGTCTGTCCTTGAATATTAAAATGTCCTTTATGCTTTACGAGTTCCTGTCTCTGTCCTGGAAAGCAGCCCTCACACCAGACACCCCGTGTCTGGCTGACCGCTGCCTCCCCGACATGCAAGGGGAGGCAAAGGCCATTTATCGCTGCTTGCAGCTTTAATTAGGGCCTGAGCCGACTGCAAGTCAGGTGAAAGCCCTATTGTGTTTCGAAGAATTATTCTTATTATTTTACCGATTCTATCGCACTTTTGAGGCCTTTATCATATTAAAAAACTCTTGAAATTTTGCATGTGCATCAGAAGTGCGAAAAATGTTGATATTTATGGGGTCACGCTTTTGGGTTCGAAAAAATGGTTATCTCGAGCCCCCTAGGGACATTTCCTCTGGGAGATTTTTTTTTGACTTGAAATTTTGCACACAGGTGCTCTTGGACATGCTCTAAAAAAAAGTCAATCATGGTATGGAATACGCCTAACTAGATTTTCCGCCATTTTGAATTTTTTTTAAAACACGTTTTGGGCCATTTCTCCTAAACGCTATGTCCGATTGTCACAAAATTTTCTCTAGATCATTATTGGGTCAAGATCCCAGATCTTGTTGATATCTAATTGTTTTGAGAAGATATGGGCTAATGCCCTCACCAAACGTGTAACACATGTGAAGATTGAAGCCCTAAACACACCCTAATTTTTTGAGAATATTTGAAAAATAGGGGGCGCTACAATTAATCGTTGATTAAAAGCATACTTTTGCTGCATGGACATGTAGCACCCGTATCACCACTCTGTGAGTCACTCACGTGAGAATGGGGGGTGCTTGGGTTCGATGTATTGTAAAACCTTTTAACAAGAAGCTATTTAAAAAATAATGAGACCCAGAGATGGTTGTTTTTTTAACAAAAGTAAAATAAATAGGGTAACGCCCTTGTTTATTTAAATACAATAATTACTTTCCCCCAAAACACAATATTACCAAATAGACAAAAATAAATAACCAAAACTTCACCAAAACGTAAATAATAAACTCTAAATTCAGTGATACACCCCACTGGTATCAATGACGTTACATCAAAATAAATGGTCGAAATGTTCCCGTTCCTCAACTCGGCAGAATACCAGAGTTCAACAATAACAACAAAAACTTTCCCCTCCAAGTGTCTTGAAACAAGTATCAGCCGATGCGGTGTTGGGCCCAATCACCACACACAGCCACACATGTTCCAGTTACTCACGGCAACGATATGTACGGAAAGAAAACACGCTGCAGGCCTGTTTGGTCTGGCAAAACATTGAGTGCGCTGAAATCACTGTCAAAACATTGAGTGCGTGGAAACTCGGGTCCGCGATGCGAGTCACCGACACGTCCGCCCGGCCTCGCGCACCGTGGCTAGCTAGCTCGGCTCCCTCGATGGCGACCTCCGCTGCTTCTCCCCCGCTCCGTCCGACGGGGTTTCGGCTTCGTTTTTTTCCTCGGTTTCCGGGCTCACAAATACACCGAATCCGCGGTCCACTCCTTCCAGCCTCCCGCGCCGGTTTATTCCGCCTTCTTATCTCCCTGCTAGCGTCTTTTCCCTCTTTCCCAAAACGCCGGCGTCCCGTGCCTTTCACGACCTTTCACTTTCCAGTCACGTGTCTTGCCTGTTGTTTTCCAAACCAATCACCATTGGCTATACACCGTGAACACACAACAGACCAATAATACTGTAACATCAAACAGTAAGTAATAAAAGGCTAACGGCCTAAAACCTCTGGAGATATTATTTAACTAAAGAATATGAACTTAACATTAGTATTCATCACTATGACAAGTATTACTCCATGCACGACAAATAAACATCTCCCCACTTAGAAATCAGGTGTCCCCTATTATTTATTCAATGTAAAATAAACATTTACTCTTTTTAATAGGCAGGCAACTAGTTTTGAAAGTACGACTATAAGTCTTAAGTTCACCAGGGGACTACAGACAGAAGTTCCATATGTTTTTAACCAGATTCTGGCGCTGCCCCACACTCTAGCCCTCGAGGTCCCCCTCTAAGACACCCAATACACTCATGTAAAACTCAGAAACGGAGCGAAGAACTAGTGAAACATAATCAGTGATTATGAAAAAAGTAGAATAGGTATCAACAAGCAGTTTTTGTCAAAAAAATAGTTGAGACTTGTGTCAACATTTGAAAGTTGAAATGGTGTCTGTAGCTGAAAGATTGGCAAAAGTGGCAGTGTGAAAGATATAGAGCTGAAATACAACAAAAAAGACGCCGAAAGCTGCACTGTTAAACTGTAGAAGTACTTGAAGAAGTGAAACTGAACTGAAATATAGAATCAGAATCTGCAGAAATAGCATTCAGGAGTAATATTAGCAGTATTAGTATCGAGGGCTGCAGTAGTAGCAGTCGTAGTAGCAGCATTTGTATATCAATAGTAACTGTAGCAGCAGCAGGTGTAGTCGTAAAAATCAGTAGTAGTTACAGTGTTGTATCGAGTGTAAAGCAGACAGTGACCTCATGACAAACATTTTATTTGTTTACATTTAGAATCCAATTTTGTGAATCAACAATTTAAAAATAATTAAAACAGTAATTAGTATTAGCATGTCAAGACTAACATACGGAACAGCCTAATATATTGGTCTCTGTACGCGTGGAAATCAAAACTGGCAAAGTAAAAATGGTTTTCTCTTTGTATATTTAATTGTTCAAGTAAGAATGACTTATTAATCTGAAATAAGTTACAGTTAAATTGATTCATCATAATTTAAGTGCTCTCAAGTGAATTAAAAACAGAGAATTGGAAATATTAATTAAGAAAAAGGAAACGCTTTCTGCAGAAGCCGTTTTTATGCACAGAGATCCCACAAAAGAAAAACTTTTTAAATAGATGTATACCACAGATCAGAACATTATTTTGTCACTACTAGTAGTTTGAGGTGTGTGCTATATTTCTAAAGATGCATTTACATCCCGTCTTTACATACTTTTTTGACTCATTATCTTCTATCGAAATATAATAAAACAATATAGCTAAGTACAGTGCACAAGTACTGTTGTATTGACCATAATGTATTTCGTGGAAGATAAAATCTTAGAGTGAGAAATTTATTAACACAGTTTTGTCAACATTGGTCCCTTTTTTTATATTCATGAATACATTTACTATAGTTTCAACAGTTAACAATATGGTTCATTTCCTACAAACAGAGGCTTTTCACATTGTTTCCAGACCTAGGTTAATACTCAGTTCAAGACTTCAAGGTCTTCAAGCCCTGGAAAGATAAGTCTTGTCAACATTGTCATTTAGACTATCCCAACGTTAAGCTCAGTTTACTGAGGCTCACAGACACACTGGGTTCTCCTTACTTTGATGAAACATTGGGTTGGAGTCACTTGTTGACTCACAGTTAGGACACAAGCTTTGTAGGATTTGTTTTCCTATTAAATCTTTTGACAAGGCTCTTTGCACCAAGTCATGTTTTAGCCTCTGAAGATGACACACTTGATGGATTTCACAGTCGTACAATTTAACACTGTGCAGTCTCAGTAGAGTTTGGGTTATCCTAAGGATCGGTGTACACATGTGAAAAACCTTGAGTATACCTACCAGCTGAAACCCCATAATGACTCATTGTGATACAAATATGTAATTTCTTCAAGGTTAATTTGTTCGTGTACACGAGGCAATCAAACAAACATTTTCATCCTTAATTTCCTCATATATCTTTTAGAAAACTGACTGAGAACGGATGGATGACATAAAGAAATACCAACTATATCAAAAATGAATGTAAAATGTAATGAAACATAAAGAAAACAATATTGTTAGATCAAATACGGTAGAGATGAAACAAACAAAATAGACAGGTGTCCTGCAGTAATACTGTTCATGAGTTAGTAGTGTATGCTTTAAAGACCTGTAACATTATGACCTTTGACCTATGCAGGCTCCAGTCATCACGTCAGGATAGTGTTACTATAGCAACATGGAGGAGAAGAGGCCTTAAAGACAGAAACAGGAGAAAATGTATTGATGTAGTTAAAAATGTAAACAGCACATGCAAGTAGTAAGACCACCAGGGGATTGTTTTGTTGTGGTCAGAGATATATTTTTAAAAAGATCTAATAACAATTGTTACCTTTATAGCTGGTTTAGGGAGGAGCTTGAAGCTGCATAAAGGTGGCGCTGTCACTGGGACAGTGATGACTGACTGATGACTCTTTCTTGCAGTCACACACCTGATCCTGACAAAATAAAACAGGAAGTTTTCGTTAGAAACTAAAGACAAACTGAACTTTCTAAAAAGGTTTATAACTCACAGTAATGAAATACCTTGAACTGTGCTGCACAGCAGATCAACATATACGTACAGTGCAACCGAATACGCTGCATGATGTTGAGCTTCTTTTATGTGTTCAGCCCTCTCTGCAGTCCTGAGTGTCTTCACTGTGAAGTGGAGGAATCACAGAGGAGGGAGACCTGAAGGAAGAAGTGGATATAAAATTAGAATGTTATATTGGATGTACAATTAGTGTTATTAAGAACATTGCATTCCTACAAAATGAATTCGTGAATGATAACAAAATGAAAACAAAACATTAGAAATCACATATGAAATAAGAAAACAATACCTTATTATCTGTTGTGAAGAAACCTCAACACTGGCAGGGAGAACACGTGTCTCTGTGGTCCAGCAAGTGTCCACTGATGATGAACAGTTAAGACGGTCCTTCAACATCTGCTCTGCTGCTGCAGTGGTGGCAGGATGTCCTGGTCGTTATGAGCTGATCCAGAATCTCAGAGCCAAAGGCAATTGAGGCAAGGACAGGCAGGTGTTTTCTCATCCTTTGCATTAAAGAATGACGCGGACAGGCAGGAAGTCAAATATATCCCTATGAGGGCTAACTGTGATGGGTCCTCGGTTGATTGACAGTTCAGTTGGTGCTGCAGTCTTTGGCATTTCTTAGATCAGAGGTCTTCAGCGTTTTTCAAGCCAAGGTCCCCCAAACTTGTGGCGAGATGGAGCAGGGACACCCTATTCTACGGAGTTTGGTCCGCCATCTTTTATTTTTGAGCTTCACGCTCTTTAGACGTGAGCATAAACGCGATCTGATTGGCTGGTGCCTGCGCTGTTGTATTTGCGGCTCAGCTCTCTTTTCGTCACAACGGTGCGGTAAAGCGAGTGCAATACCGCCCCCGCTGCTCCGATTCTCCGGCCAAACTCACACTCAATCTTCCCCTCACTCGTGAACAAGACCCCGAGGTACTTGAACTCCTTCACTTGGGGTAAGGACACATTCCCTACCTGGAGTAGGCAATCCATCGGTTTCCTGCTGAGAACCATGGCCTCAGATTTAGAGGTGCTAATCCTCATCCCGACCGCTTCACACTCGACTGCGAAAACGCTCCATGACACAGTAGACAGGGTTGCGATAACTGTAATAAGTTCTCATCAGACCAGAGTGGAGACAGCGTTGTGGTTGAGAGATGAAAATGAGGTCCAGCAGTGTGTTCTTGTCAGTGGTTGCATTAGTGATGACTTGTGCAAATCCTCTGGACTGGAAGAGCTCAAGGATTGGCTTCCTGGTGTTTGAGAAGAGATTCTCGTTAAAATCACCACAGACAATGATGGGCTGACAGTCCATGATCTCCAATGAGTCCAGCAGGCTCCCCAGGTTGGACAGGAATGATCTCACACTGTAGTCTAGAGGTCTGTACACAGCTGCAATCAGGGCTCTCACTGGGGCTTCTACCTTCAGAGCCACAAACTCAAGATCGGTCACATTATGTACGTACTGTTTCTCACGCACCTGAATGTGGCTTTTCACATAAACAGCGACTCCACCACCACCTCTGTTGGCTATTTGTGGAACATTTGTGTAGGACAGGTGTCTGTTGCGTTTGAACATGTTGTAGCCCTCTAAATGGAGACTCTCTGCAAGAAAGGAGAAGGTGAGTTTCTGTGAGACACAAAACATCTGCAAGACACAGTTCATGATGGCTCCTGATGTCATTGATGTGAGATGGCATACCTTCCTTGTTATGGTGAACAATGGTCAGAGTGTCACGTCTACTTGATGTCTGTATGTTTCGAAGAAGAGGCATCATGTCGTCCAAGTTGACTTGTCTTATGGTCTCGAGGGCTCCAGTGATTTCTGGGTTGGCATAGATTTTACTCTCATCCAGATCCAGCATTTGCAGTCCACTGAGAGAGGTCACTCTACTGATAGCTACGTAAGCCATGCCAGGTTCAAAAACGTGTTTCAGTGACACTACAGCTGATGTCCTTGTCATACCCTGAACCTTGTGTATTGTGCAGGCAAAGGCAAGTTGAACAGGAAACTGTCTGCGTACCACTCATTTCTGTTTCAGATTGTCCTCTGCTCTCTCTATGTACACCACATCATCAGGGCCGCCCGGTGCTCTTCCATCTTGAGCCCGAGCATAGTGACATGTGCAACACCACTCTGTTCTGAGGTTATTACCGTGACTAGTGTAGCAAACGATCCATTCACCAATTCCTGAGACACGTCTATGTTTCTGGTGAGCATGACTCGAGCACCTTCAGCTACGTTTAGTGTGTCTGGTAACTCATTTCTGGTTCCTTTGTATGGATGGGGTTGACGAGCCATTCTTCCAGTTCGTGGGTCCTTCTTGTAGTCATCTGCATCGATCTTGGTGATATTAGAATGCAGCAGAGCTAATGTTACTGAGTTGTGTGAATCAACCTGTTTATTAGTTGCAAACATGTGCAGGACATCAGGTGGATAAAGTGATGGTTCAGTGATGGTCTGTGACAACAAGGGTCTGTCTGCTTGAGACAACTCATCTGACTTTCCTTTCACACGGATCCGGTTCAACATCTCTGCAAAGGCAACATCATTTTTCTGCCGCATAATCTCAGTCAGGGTGATTGTCTGAATGTGTTCCTGCCATAGGTCGATCTCACATGGCTCGTACACACAGAGGGTCTTGGACTGTCGCACTGGTGGTAGCTGATAAAAGTCTCCAACAGCTATTACTGACATTCCACCAAAGGGTTTGGGACTAGCTTTGATCTGTTTCAGTCTTGCATCCACATAGGCACCAGGGGTTTTGACACCATGGACACTTCATCAATGATGAGGATTTCAGCATTTAAAAGTTCTGATCGGGCTTCATCCGGTTACCAAGTACTTGAAATGGAGGTTTCAGACTTCGTGGACTTCGTGGAAGTCTGAGCAGAGAGTGCAGTGTTGATCCTGATATATTAAAGGCTGTAGTTCCAGTGAAAGCTGTCAACAGGACCGTGGGGTTGGATATGTCGACCTCCTCAGAATGGCTGGGCACTTTGCACAGTATCTTAGATGCTTCTAAGTAGATGCATTTAATGAGATGTGACTTTCCTGTTCCAGCACCACCATTGATGTAAAAGAAAAACTGCTCAGGATTTAGGCCACAGACACGCTTTACGCACCAGGCCTGATTACTGTATTCTGGACCATTTTCTTGAACATGTTCATGATCTGGCTCTCTTGCCTCCAGTTCTTCGATACATTCCAACCTTTCCACTTCAGATTCTGGAGCCAGATTACACCATTCATCAATCACTCCTCTGTTCTGTTCAAATTCTTTGACTGCATTCTCAATGTCCTCGCTGTTTTTCTCATATTTGTCTTTGTTTCGTTTCACAATGTGATGGACATACTCAGGATGGTCAGAACCTGGTAGTTGGACACAACAACTCTAGAAGGACTCGTACGTGGGGAAATGTTCCAGGTCTGATCGGTGAGGAATGTACAGTTTCAGTAATGTGCCATAGAACTTCTCTGGATATTTTTCCTGTGAGCAGTGGTAAAATCTGATGATGGCGGGCTTATTGTTTTTACGCTTTTGCACAAATCCCATGTCATTGAGGAGGGGAAACACATCTTTTCCCTTTTTCTGTTGGCCATAGACAATTCTACAAGTAGCTGCGAAATCAGCCAAACACATCAGCTCAACCTCTAGTGTTTCTGGTCTGGATTTGTATTTGTCAGTCAAAGATGTCATCCACACATTTACACTTTCTAATGTTGTGTTCTCCAGGTAAGACAAGGGGCGACTCATTTTCAGTGCGTTGTCATCTGTAGGTACAAATATGACACCACGTGAACACTTCTTCATGTTTATTCCACATCCACGAGTAACACACTCCTGAGCACTGATCTCTCTCTTTTTAGAGTACGCCTGCATGATTTCCCTCATTTCATCACATTCATTGACGTGGTCCCTGGTGTAGTTTTCAATGACTGTTTTGAGGTACTCAGAAAGTCCAGATTCCTTTTTGGTGATGCAGCTGGTGAGATACATGATGCACGAATATGCATTGAGAATATAACTGACATCAATATTGGCATCCCAGGCTTCCAGTAGATGTGCATTATATCCATTTACCCAGCAGTCTTTTGGCTCACGTTTCAGGATCACCGCATTGGATTTGTTGATGACATTGAGGCATCCTTCATACTCTTGGACTGTTAAGTTGCATTTACTGAGGAGCTGCTGCAAACTGAGTGAGGCAGTTTCAGGTTCATTCAGCAACAAGTTCAGTGGCTGGAGCTTGGACTTGCAGCAACTGCCGTTGCAGTGGAGCAATGCCCTCGCCAGGTCTCGATATCATTGTCTTTCTGGAAGGTGGTTTAGGAAATCAAATCTGCAACCCGAGCTGGGGCTTCTGAAACATGTGAGTGTTTTTTCCTGTGTATTTGCACCTCTGTGACCTTCTTGTACAGTTCAGGTTGTGTGAGTTGGTCAAGTAGCTGAGCTGTGTATTTAGACACAAAAGCTGACACAGTGTGATCATCATCCTCCTCAAACACAGGTGCACCTTCTACCCATATGAGACAGTGAATGTGTGGACTTCCTCTGTGCTGAAACTCAACTCGGTAAAAGTAGTCAACAACTTTGCCAAGAGGCTGTGCAGGAGATAAGAGCACATGTCTGAATATGGCCTCAACACGCTTATCAAACATGCACATTGTTGTCACACGACTGCTTCTCAGAATGTCACACTTTGCTGACCAGTCGAGCCCTTCAAAGTTCACCTCCTCACCTTGCTGTCTTTTTATTCCTTCAATCACTTCAGGCCAATGTATCTTAGCTGCAGAAAATGTACAAAAGAATGTGGGAGTTCCCAACTGTCTGATCATGGAAAAAAGGTTTCATGTGGTTTTCTCCCAGTAGGCTGGTGTTCCTCTCAGCGGCTGCATGAATCTGACTGCATCTTCCTTCCTCACCAGTTTCTCTACCTCTCGTTTGTTTTGCAGCATACCAGATGTTATTTTTCATCCATCTCGAGTCATTGGCTTTCCTTTCCTCAACTTCATTGTCATGCTGGATGTGGCCAAGTGTATTTCAGTCACAAACTGAGCAAAGAACAAGTAGTTTGTGTCTCTGGCAAAACGATCATCAACACAGAAAAGCCTCGCTTTGAAATAACTGCTGGGTGTTACTTTCATACGTCTCCCTTCATCCAGTGTGTTTTGACCTGTAGGGAACTGCACAGGGAAAGCCATCGCCTCAAGTTTAGGAGTTTTGAAGAAACCAACTGGACTGTTACTTTCTGCAGGGGCAACAGAGTAGATTCCTTCACTGAAACATACGATCTCCTCTGAAACATCACACAATTTCCTTTAAATCAGCATCATCATAGTCGTCCTCATCCATGGTGGCATCATCCTCGTCACCATCCTCATCATCTTCATCGGGAAGTGTTGGGTCACAAAGCTCGGCCTCATCTCTGATAGTGATGTCCTGATATTGTGGATGAATGCGTTTGAGTTTATGCAGCGCCTGCACTAGTTTAGACCAGGTGACAGTCTGGAACAGCTGATGTCCTCTGTAACACAATTGTCTCTTCAGCTTTACTCTCATCACTTGAGACTCACTTCTCAGTCTGGGTAACGCTTCCACTGTTTCCTGCACCTCAGACGGGACACAAACCACGTTGCCATGTATCGCTCTCTGTCATCCTTTAGGAAGAGGAATGATGTTTGCAAACGCTATGCACTTGGCTATGAGATGTCTCTCCAATATGTTGAGGTCACACAGTTCAGGTGGAATGTCAGCGAGCTCCAAGTTGTTGGCTACAGCGAGTGTCGGCATGACTCCATCTTTAAGATGATTGTGGCTGGTGTGACAGATCCACTCTTCCTTTCTCTCATCAGGCACATTGCACTGCTGTTCATCTCTGCACTCGTCATCACACACATGGACGTACTTTCCTGTCAGGCATGCTGCAACAACGTCTGGATTTCGTACATAGTTTAACCGTTTACAGGGTTTCACTTGGTTTGGAAATGATGCTTTGTGACACACGGTGTAAACATAAGTGGGACCGAACTTTATTTGTGACCTGAAAACAGATATGGCCTCTTTGATCAAACTGTTGTCACTTTCTTCTGTTGGTTTATTTATCCCTCTGTACTTCCTTTTTATTTTCATGGCACATCTCATGTTCCACATACTTCGATATGTAGGATGGTTTTTATATCTGTCTTTCATTCGTTGTTTCATTAGTTGTTTGTGTCTGAGCCTGAATGCCCGGTCATGAGCGTAACGCTGAATAATGTGAGATGTCTTCATTTGTCTAAAATCAATGCTGTTTTCATAAAAAGCAGTGAAGTACAGTTTTCTTTCCTTTCTAAACTCAGCATTGTCTCAGTAGCGGTCTGTAAAGTGCAGTTTTTTCTTCTCTCTAAATCCAGGATTATTTCTGTAACGAGAGACAAAGATTTGTTTTTTTTCTGTCTAAAATCAGCATTTTCTTTGTACCGGAAGGAAATGTACTCTTTCCGTTTTTGCTGAAAGTCAACATTGTCTCTTGTATTATTGATTTTCTTTTGTCTAAATTCAGAGTTGTTCTGATATTTGCTTTTTGCATGAGATTTTTTCTGCTTTATATGCTTTATTTGATGCATACTTTTCCTTTTCTTAATATCTTGCCTTTGTTGAGTTTTCTCTGAGATCATCAATCTTCTCTTTATTTTTCTCCTTTTGTTTTCATTGAAACAGTGTAGCTTTCATCTGTGCTTCACTCTCCACTTGTTTTTGCAAGGAAACAGCTATTGTGTGTTTAGCATTATGTCTTCGGCTGCCTTGTGGCTCTTTGATGTTGCGTGTTTGTAAATTTTGCTTCTCAAGCATGATAGCTGATATTTGTGATCACCATTGTGACTGTATGTGACTTTAGTTGCTGTCCATTCATTGGAGAGACACATTCCTGTTTCTTTAAACACTCCAAGGCCTTTCACTTTTTTTTACAAATTTTGCATTGTTGTGTTCAAAAATGAAGAAACGCCGGACGGACAGAGGTCATCGCTGATCAAAAGGTTAAAATCAAATGTATTTAATAAAGGAGATGGCGTTGCGGTAAAAAGAACATCTCAGCTGAGGAGCCGCTGGTCTCAGCGACCAACAGGCCCCAGGTCAGTCCTTTGACCATCCCTAGTGCCCGTCTGTCGCCTCCACCAGTGAACTCGAGCACAATGGTTCCTACAGGTATTTATAACAATGTTTAAAGGTGTGAAAGTTAGTGTCCACACCTCTGGGAGTGGTCTTCTGGTGAGTTCAATGTAACTCGGATTTCGAAAGATCCATAGTCAATATCAGTTGTTGTTCAAGTTTTACATGCATGCATTCCAGTTGATTACATTACATCAAATACAATCATAACTACATTGGTATTATTCTATTACAGTTGCAGAATTACAGTAGTTTTACATTATTGTCATTACTTTATGTATTACACAGTTTCAGAATCATGGCTGTATTCTGGTGTACACTATATGCATTTTCATTAATTTTATGAACCGGGTCGTATATTTGTTTCTAATATCCTACGGCATCCAAGAAATTCACCATTGACAATAAGCCATGGGTTAGCTTTTTTAAACTGTGTGTGTTGTTTTTCTGTCCAGATATGTGGGTGGCATCTGCTCTCCATTTCTCCTCTCACTGTGTCCTCAGTCTCAGATTCTTCTTCCTCTGTATCTCCCTCTACTTCAGATTCTAATTCAGATTCTCCACTCTCCATCTCTCCTGCCCCTGTTTCTTCATCTCCCCCCTCTATTTCATCTTTCTCTGTCTCCCCTTTCTCTGTTTCTTCATTCTATGTTGGTCTTCTTTCATTTCCTCCCTTTCCTCTTCTCCACTCTTCGGTTCCCCACTGTCATGATTTCGTTCTCTCATCAGCCGTTCTCCTCTCTCTATACGACCTGGTGTTTCTCCTCTCCCTGTGCTCTCTGCATCATTGTCTGTCCTATCGCTGCCTGAAAAAATATGTTGCATTTAAGAGTTGTGGGCCTGAGAACACTAGTTAAGCAGCCTGACAATTACACTGACAACATAGGTTAAAGAAACACTCATGTACTACCTATGTCATTATAAATAGCCTATACAGCGTAGGTCACTAACTGGCGGACCGCGGTCCGGGTCCGGACCCAGAGGCCGTCCCATCCGGACCCGGACCGCCAGCCAAAACAGAAGGTTGTGATTTAAAACCTGACGGCGTTTTTATTTTTTTTACCCGGCGGCGTGGCTTTTGCAGTATTTACGGTAGTGGTTTAGCGGATGAGGAAACGCACAGACCAATTGCATGCGAGTTAAGCCATCCCACGTGATACCACTCAGCCAATCAAATCTATGCATTCTCGGCGGTAAACATTACGTCTCAAGACAGCGCTGCGCCCGCGCTGAGAGATGAGAAAGTTAGAGAAAGAAAAAGAAAGATAGCGACACATTTAGAAAACAAAGGGAGAGAAACGGACGACTGTGCCGGAGAAAGTTGAGGACAAGTCGATTGAGACAGAGAAAGGGAGAGAAACATAAGGAACAAATGTCGCTCTCCAAAAAAAGAAAAGTTGACAGAGAAAATAGAGCATATAATCCGGAATGGACAGACTTATATGTTCAGAAACCGTGGCACTTATTAAAAGTGGCAATGTGAAACGCCATTATGAGACAAAACATAAAGGTTTTGAACAAACATACCCACTCAAATCCGAAGTGAGATCACAGAAAACAAGTGGCCTCACAGCCCAATATGAACAGTCAACCAGGATCCTGAGCCACACGTTCACTGCCCAACAACGTGCTCATGAGTGTTCCCTCAGAGTTGCTTGGATTTTGGGGCAACACAAAAAGCCATTTACTGATGGAGGGCTTGTCAAAGAATGCATGAGTGTCGTCGCTGAAACATTACTTGACGGAAAACCAAAACAAGAGCTTTGTGATAAGATAAAGCAAATACCCATGTCAGCATCATCTGCCACAAAGAAAGGTGAAATATTAACTCAGGATGTGCTAACCCAGCTAAATGAAGCCATACATAAGGCACCATGTGTAGGCTTAGCTGTGGATGAGTCCACTGACATCTGTGACAATGCTCAGCTGTTAGTGTAGGTCAGGTTTTTCAACACAGACCAGAAAGCATTCTGTGAAGACCTGTTAGGTGTCACTCCCCTTCAAACCAGTACAAGAGGAGAGGATATCTACCTGGCCATTAAGGAGATGTTAACGAAGAGAGGAATAGAGCCAACACAAGTGGTTTCAATAGCCACAGATGGAGCCCCTGCTATGATAGGGAGAGAGAAAGGAGCTGGAGCAAGACTGAAAGAGGACAATCCAGAGCTCATAGCTTCCATTGCATCATTCACCAATCTGTCCTCTGTGCCTCCCTGTCAGATGAGCATGCTGAAGTGATGAATACAATGATGAAAATGATCAATTTTCTCAGGGCATCCTCTTCCACCCAGCATTGCATGCTGCGGGAATTCCTCAGAGAAGTTGATGCCAATGCTGATGATCTTTTGCTGCACAATAATGTGAGATGGCTCAGCAAAGGGAAGGTCTTAGCGCGCTTTTGGTCCATCAGGAGGGAAGTAGCATCTTTTTTGGCAGAGCTAAGACATCAGAAGGCAACGCAGTTTTCTCTCTTTTTAGGAAATGAGAAACAGATGGATAATGTGGCCTTTTTGGTTGATATCACTGCACATCTGAATGAACTGAATTTGAGGCTACAGGGCAAGGACAATTCAATTTGTGAACTGATGACCGCTGTCCGCTCCTTTCAAAAGAAACTTGAGTTGTTCAAGGAAGACCTGCAGGGAGACTGTGCACACTTCCCAGCAGTGCGGGAACAGGTACAGGGACAGAGAGATGTGTCTTCTTTGGTTGACTTCATTGATAAGCTGATCGTAAACTTCAGCAACTGTTTTGACAGCTTCAGCTTTGGACAGCAGCTCACCATGTTCATTCAGAACCCATTTATCATCACGGATGTCAGGGGGTTCTCAGAGGAAGTCACACAGCACTTTAAATGGGTAAATCGAACTGACCCTTCCACATTCTGGCTCCAAACGGTCCCTGAGACAGCTTTTCCAGGTCTGAGGAAAGTTGCCATATACATCTTGACCATGTTTGGCTCCACCTACAACTGCGAGGCAGCTTTCTCCACGATGAATATCATCAAAAATAAATATCGTTCGAGGCTCACCAATGAGCACCTCCACATGTGCATGCGGATGGCCCTGACTCCATTCAAGCCCAGGTTTAAAGTCCTGGCAGCACAAGCTAGAGCTCAATTCTCCCACTGACCAACAAAGTGGGGAAGTGGGATGCAAGACTAATGCTCTAAAACTGTTAAATTGTTAAGATGTGTTAAGATTTATTATCTGTAAAATCGTTTGAGACTGAAACGGGGACATTTAAGCTTTTCCTCCCTTTACTTAATTTTTCTGAAGTTAAGCACTTTATTTGATTATTATTATTATTTATTATTACATGCACCATTTTCATTTTGTATTTATTTTATTTTAAAAATGCAGCCCTACTTTTATTTAGTTCATGAGAGAGCATTACACATATCTGCAGTCACACATACGTCCAGTTCTTTGTTACATGATTATAAATATTGTTTAAAAGTGTTTTAATCGTACCGAATTCCTTTGATTTGAAAGGTATTGATTATATGCAGATGTTTATACAACTACCAGGCTACTTAAATATATATCACACTAAATAGTTAGACATTATGATCTTCTGGACCTTTGCTTCAAGAAAATTTCTCTAACTGGACCTCTTAACATTTTAGTTGAATACCCCTGTTCTAAGGAATTGAGAACGCAGACAGACCGCAAGGTTAAAACATAAATTTGCGGCTTTAATAATTGAGTCTGAGAGGTTAACATAAACTCACAGACGCATTGACTCCGGAAGGTTAGTATAAACTTTCGGCATTAATTCATTCTGCGAGACTAACATAAGCTTTTCTGAAAGGTTAGTATAAACTTTCAGAACATAGCTGTCTGCGCCGGTAAAATACATACGAACTGGTTGACTGCTGTTAAATGGAGGGTGAATTTGATGGAGAAGTGGAGGACGGCGGCCGGGAGCCAGGGCCGGGGTATGGATGGAAAATAATAAATGACCAACTGAGGATGTGTTGGTGGCGGTGAGCAGAGATACCACTGGGAAAAAGAAACACGATGTTGTGGAGCACACAGGACACACGGTGAGAAAGTTGTTAGAGGAGAAAGGCGTTAGTTTGGCAGACAGAGTGTCACTGACGCACATATTGTGGGACAAGGCAGAGCAGAGATTATAGACTGCTGAGAGTGTCAGCTGAAATTAGACTTAGATCGTGGGGAAGATTGATAAAAAAAAAATTTAAAAAAAAGGGAGTCATTGAAAATTAAGAGATGAGAAATAAGGAGAATTGTTGTATATAGTGTCCGTTTTTTGTATTAATGTTTGTAGTTTTTTGAGTCTTTTCCTAACCTCAGAGATAGGCTGTAAATTGTTGAGTGCTGCTATTAGGTGTATAGTGCACGATACACTTGCTACAGTATCTTGATGATGGAAGCAAATGTCTGATCAAAGGAACATTGATAGCATCAGTACACAGAATATGGAAACTTGTTAGACGGTCATCCTGTAATGGTTCATCAAGTAATACACCTTTACGTTTGGATACGATGACCATGAGAGGTTGGTGATCTATCAGTGATGAATGAATGGATTGGATCATACTAAGCATGAGCTGAGGTTGTGTTTGCAAGTAACAGACATGTCTCCCACCCTCCGCTTTGCTTTTGGGCTGAAGAGCAGTAAAAGTGGAGATTAACACTGAAGTGGGGGTCTGGGATAGATGGGTCCGATGCTAAGTTGATTTATTATCTCCTGGTACTTTTTGGGATCCAGGGACTCACTCACTTGTTTTATGACCCACAAGTGTTTGGAGAACTTTTTGTTTATATCACTGGGGTTTGAGGTTCAAATTCTGATACATTGTTTG